TTAATGTTATTAATGTGTGATATTATCATTAATCAGACAAGGATTTTATGTAGAACATGTTGCAAGATCAATCGATTAATAATTAAAGTTGGAATACATATTCACAATTTGTATAAAATCGTGACTTCATTTAGAAAAGGCGTTAAATTTAATATTACAAATAAATTATGGATTTTACAAGTTTAAAATTTGTTATCAAGTCAGAAACTTTATAAATACTAAGCATATGAAATTATCGACGAAGAAGTATAATAATATATATATATATATATATATATATATATATATATATATATATATATATATATATATATATATCATATTTTTTTCCTGGCACATCTCCTTATCAGACTTAATGCCATTTCCATGTAAGCCCATGAGAAAATGACGTACACAAATATTATTATTCGATTCGATCAAGAGGAATTGCAAAGTGCATTATAATGCTGATCGCATCTTGAAGAAGTGCATCGCGTCTGTCGCCGTGGCGATAAACGAGTTTATCAACCGCCTCACAATTAGCCGCTCTTCATGGAGGCATTTCAGCGTGGGCACCGTCGCTCTAACGGGCCGTGTGTCGCGGAGAGATGAGAGATGACAGATAAAAAAGAATAGACGAGAGAACGAGAGAGGAAGGGAGGAGAGGATAGACAGTAAGAGAAAGAAAATTCGTGCGTAGGGAGTGCAGCGAACGGATGAGGAGGCCGACGGCTCCGACGGATATTTCTGTGACATCGAGACGCTCATAAGCTACTTAGGACTTAGCTTAGCCACGGTCATCCGTAGGTGTGTACGCGGCTTTATTCCGTAACGACGTCCTTGCACCTTCCTACACGGAGGACGTTTTATAGCGCCAACATGCGCCACGCTCGTTACGCTTTCGCTCGACGGTGCACCATGCCGCGTTATTGGGAATGAAAATTAAAGCTGCGGATCTTTCTTGTGTTGAATCGGAACTACCGAACGGATAATCGAAATACAAAGAAAACAAAGTATAGATAATTTGAGATATTTATTGGTAGTGATGCATTGTTAAGAATCAAAATGTACATACTCGTAAGTGACACTGCATTGATCGATGCAATTAAATATTAAGTAACATCATATTCTAGCACCAATGTCGGCTATCAATATAATAATAATTATGTTATTAATAGAATTACAAGCAAGAGAAATAATAATATATAAATTAAATTCTATGTGAATTAAATTGATGATCAGTAGACAGTAGACATTAGAAATAGAGAAAATAAAAATGTGAGATAAGATAATGGAAAGCGTACAATTTTGGATGTGATTTTGATTTTCTTAGAAAAATATAAAACAAAATTAGTCGAAAAGATGAAGACACTTGTTGAGAAACAGAATTATATAATTTATATGTGTATTTAATTATAATTTATATGTGTATTTAATTATTTGGTATGTTATCGCATCACATATCATTGTTGCTACGAACTTACATAATCGCATTGCGGCAAAGAGAGATGAGTTTTTGTGACTTTTGCGGACGTTCTGATTCTCGCTTATGGTACGTAATTTAGAATCGCAATCGGCATAAAAACGATCATACACTTCTGGCAACCTTAGACGGCGCGGGTATTGAAACGGCTGTAAATTACTAAGCGACTACCGCATCGGCGCTATTGACGGCTCTAAAATGTTGCCCTGATGACTTAACTGGAAACTCTAAAACCAGTTCCTAATGACTTTTTGCGGTGGGACGGAGCAAGTGGCGACAAAGACGAAAAAAACGCGCGGTTCACAACGAGTAAAGCACAAAGATGCGTGTTTATTACACCGCTACGAAACCGCTACGTACCGCGGTCACTTGAATTATTAAGAAACATCCTGGCATCAAAGGCCAGCTAGATAGACCACCTCGATGAAGGAGAGCAACTGAGAACGGCCCGTAGGCTGTTTCCACATCGTAAACAGGCCTATCGAATAGCTGAGATGTACATTATTACCATGAAACAGATTTTTCCACCAAAGAAACAATATCCCGCTATAACCCTCTTTTCAACCTTATAATATCAATCTATACTTTATTTTAATTTATTATTTCTATTGTATAATCTACGTTAATTTGGTATGCTCAAACAATCTTATCAAATCTTTTTAATATTTATAAAAGAAATAATCAACTAGAGAAAGAGGAAAAAAGAGATTGTGGAAAGAGAGAAAAAAATGGTAAGGTTAATTGTTTAGCAAACTTGTGGAAGTTAATATATATGTAGATAAAATGCAAAATTATATATGAATAGTATAAATGGAATTCAATATATATATAACTGATAATTGAACTGATAATTTTATTTGCAATAGATATAAATATTAATAGATAAGAATTAATAAATAAAATTAGTTGATTAGAAATATAATTTTTAATATAATATAAGTAGAAAAAATTTATAATATTCTTAATATATGTGTAATTTTTAAGATATATTAGTTCCAATTGAATTTTTTAATTAAAATTTTTTAGTGAAGATATTTAAATTTGCATATATACAATTTCTAAAATTCTATTTTTAAAATACATTGTTATTTATATAATATTCCAAAATTTTTCCCTCAACTTTTTTTCGTCGCAAATTATTTCGTGATAATAAAATTGAAGACTAAATGTTTCCATAAAATAAATGTTTCCATTTGAAATGTTTCCATTTAAAATAATTGAACATAATTAATATAATACATCAGTTTCTTTGAAACTGATAATTATTTCGACAATCGTTGAAAGGTTGCATCACGTAATAAATGTCTTTTTAAATAGTTTATTCGCAATTATAATTCTGCATTATAATTCTGAATACAATAATAAATTCTGAATACAATATATTATATACATTAATATGTATGATTTGCTGTTCGTTGCTACTGCCATATTCACTTTTTATTTAATTGAAATACTTAAATAAGAAGTTAAATAAGAAGTTAGACCTCTTCTCCCTCTCTACACACAGATAATTTTTATTGCTGATTGATTCTTTATTGTAGTTCAGCAACAATATTTTAAAATTATTAAGCTCCCGAATTAAAAAGTTGTTAAATTTAAAAGTTGTATTTTAAAACTGATTTTTATCATATTTCACAAGCCAGAAGTTCACAGTATTGTGGACATTCTCGTCGAGGCTAGAATGAGAAAGAATCGAGGAAATGGAACGTGTCGGCACAGCAATCTCTCGTATGCGAATTATCTCGCGCAGTGTAAGGTCGAGGATCGTTCTTCTTCTCAACGAAAAGTAAGCCATTCGCTGTGCTTCATACATCCTCGTGCGCAAAGACATAGAAACGGCAGCGCTGTCGATACTATAAGGTTAAAGATTATAGTGGTCGTTGCAAAGCATTCATTTCTAGATTCATAGTTTTTGTCTCGAGACTGATGACCTGTTTCTTGCATCCGCAAACTCCATGATACGATAAATACGATAAAACGGAATTCTTAATCCTTTCTTTTCGAAATGTTCACCAAATCATCATAATAAAGAAATAATTTGATTAATTGCACAAAATTTAAAAAAGATATATTTAAAAGTACAAAATACCATTATAACATAGTTTCTTGTAGTTTCTTTTACATTCGACGTTTAAATTTAGAAATATTTTATTACATACTTAATATCATGTTACTTTCAGTTAATTTTTTAATATTATTCTACTTATATTTTTTTTACATTTAAAAACGCGCACGTATGTGCCGTCGTTCTTCCAAATAATCTAAAAATCGAACAATCGATAGGGATCTAAGATTCGAAGCTAGAGATTGGCCGCGAATTGCACAGCGGAAACGGTCGTTTCGCTCATGAGGATAGCAATGATCGTAGACACGCGACGAAGGTCAAAGGTAGCGATGTGATTTCGTACTGTACGCCCACTTCCAGGTTGCATGTCATGGATGTTGAATATCACTACATGATTGATAGGTTGATGCGCGCGTGTCTCGCTCTGGGCCCTGGCGCGCGGTGCCTACACGGACGCGTGCAGGCGATGACGAGGAGCAGAGCCCCACCATACAAAGAGAAAGGGGGAAGAGACCTCTCGGCGCGCGAAGTCATAAGGTTAACTATTGTGGTGTACACGCCGTGGAGACACGACTACCACGCGAACCTGATAGGGTGAAAGTTTACGCCGCGTTTCTCTCCCTCTCGAGCACGCGCGTGCAATGCGGCCCCGCCGCGGAGGATCGCACCTTCGATGCGGTCTGTGGTTCCGCGTGCGGTTTCTCAACACACGTCTCATTACTTACCTGCCGCTTACTTGCCGAACACATATCTTATTACTTACATTCGCAAATCGTCGAGAATCTTTTATTTAATTAATATTCCCCGCCAATAATAATCTCATAAAATTTATCACCTCGATGATAATAATGTCTATAGTATGATGATAGTAATAAAATATTGATATTTCATAATTATCATATATATAAAAAATTGCATTATAGAATATTTGCAATATATAAAATTTAAAGACAATATTTCATTGTTGAAACGAAATCGAAATATTCAATACAATGGAATTATTATAACTTCTAAATGTAGAAATATATAATATACGTGGCATTTATGTAATTTCTTTAACGTAGTTCATCACATCAGTATCATATTTTTTATCGCGATATCTCTTAAAAATACTAAATATATTATAAGTTATAAGTATCATATATAATATAATATTATAAGTATATAAGTTTACTTATTTTATTTTAACATATTACAATTACACATTAATTATTTGTTATGTTGTATTATAATATTAATTAAATATTAATTATTATTAGACATTACACTATTATTCCGAACTGACGTATTAATTATTCGAACTAATATGTACTTATCGCTAAGTAAATAAATATTCTGTTATGATATACACTATTTATAATAAAGAGCATAAATTGTTTGAAATTAATTAAAAATTGTTCTACTCTATAAACATTATTATTTTAAAAATTTATCTATGCAAAATTTTGTTATAATTGACTTAATTTCGGTTTTTCAACAAAAAATTATAATTATTACAATCTTATGTAAGGCATACATGCATAAAGGACATTTTTTTTAAATTGACCTGTATTTTATTGTCGTGACGTAATTCGATTTTTTTTTAAATTTTCTATTTTAGCAAGAAAAATTAAACATCAAATGTGGAAATAATTTTATTATATGGTTTTCAATAACTGAATGTATTTAATATTTTATTTGTTACGATCAATCAACACAAGAACAAGCATCCACATAGTCATTGTGTAGAAATAATTACACAGAAGATTTCGTGTCTCTCATTTGTCGTATGAGGTTTGCGTGTACTCATGGAATGCCATTCCTGCAGCGAAATACCAGTCCAACTAAACGCTTCTTGGTTAACTGACCGAGGTGTCTAATTAATTAAATGCCATCATCCCCATGGCGTATTTGCTTAATTGCTAAGCTCCGTCTCGCGGTCAACGAATGTTTTATACGAATGTTACTCGTACAATTTTTTGGCTAATTACGTTAATTGCGTGCATTTCTTCTTCGTAAGTTTCGTAAGCCTTTAAACTTAGAATGTAGCGAAGTAATTTCTAATTTACACGCTTTGAGCCTGAGAAAATTAATTTTATTATAATATCTATTATAAATTTAAAATTTTATTCGCAATTATTATCTAACATATATAAATAAAAGTTTAATTGTATAAAAGTTTAATTGTATAATTTAGGTTAAATTAAAGTTATAAAATCAAAGTTTAATTGTATAATTTTCAAATAGATTGTCGGAACAAGAAAAGTGTATTACATTTAAATAAATTTTTTTGAAAGGTAATTTGGCACATGTGACATTATATAAGAAATTTTGATTGTGTCATGAATGCGATGTACAATTTAATGCGCGATTACGCGACACGAAGATTACGTTTGCCGCGCGATGCGAATTGCATTAATTTTATAATTCAAACGATACTTACCACGACCCTCTTCAAAACGTTGCCCTTTTTCGACGTCGTGGGCAATTTATAGTGCGAGATTCCCCGCGGCGGATTACAATAGCGGCTCCAGTTTCTAATGCAAAAGCCGTTTGTATTCATGCGGCGTAATTAATAGCAGCTACGGGGACATCTAAAATACCAGGAGATATACCATATATCCATGAGTTTTAAGCTGAATTTCACTTTTAATAATCATCCAGAATAAATCATTCACAGTTAAGAGAATAAATGATTGTGTACATATCATTAAGATGTACACATCATTAAGATTTATCAATTTTAATTTGAAATTATTCATAATCTAAAATGAATTATCAGAATAATTAAAAATACCTTCGTGCAATCTTTAAAGTAATTACAGCGTGATTAAGCGCAAAAGACACATTTATTATTACATCTTTTATTTGTGGGTACATAAATCACTCATTTAGTCGTTAATAAGTCCGTACCGATCTGAGACCAAGTCTCAAACTGAGCGCATCTTTCGGTGCGACGACGCTAAGCGGGCTCGAGCGAGTTAAGAAATTCACGTCTCGCGCTAAGCGCGATACGCGCCTTAATCTTATTTATATATCGAGATTCGATGGTATTAATGACCACGCCCCGTGCGAGCGCGATCCCTTCGATTTCCGGGGCCGCGGTCCCGGAAGAAATCCTTTCTACGCGTGTGCGCGCGCGCGCGCGCGCACTCGAGAGAGCACAGGAGGCCGACGCACTCGTGCGATGCAACGCGGGATGCATCCGGGGCTCTGGAATGCGGCACGGGGACGCGCGATGCGGCAAATATACCTACCAGGACCCGAGCGATGCTGGGCACGGGGTGGGGAAGTCGGCCCCGATACAACCGGGGCGTGGGGGGGGGGGGAGGAAGGCAATCTCACCGGTGGAAGAAGGTCAGCAAAGTTAAGAGCGAAGTTAATTACCAGCCGGCTCGCCGGAACTACCGGCGTTCGCCAGTGCTTGTCTAGGAGGACCGCCGCCCGACTTTATGTTTCCGAATACAGGAAAATACCATCGCTTTTCCGTATCTATCCAATCGAGATTCGCGAGAAAGTCGGGTCTTTTCGTTTGGTTTCTTTTCGCGAACCAAACGGGAGAAAAGAACTTAAGAATTTAGGATTATTTTCGAATTTAGACGAATTTTATATTAAAATGTTTCATACAAAATTTTCGAAGTTGTATCGTATCGTGAAATTATAACATTGATATGAAGCACTTGAGTTATCAAGATACTCAGAGAGTCAAGAACTTGGCCATCTCGTATCTTTTTCGAAAAAGATGTTGAAATCATTGAAATGAACGTACAGCGAGCGACGTAATAATTTGTTCGCGATGTTCCTTTCACGTATGCTTCTAAAAATATCGAAAGAAATTAATCATTACACGATGCAATTATTTCACGTCGGAAAAAGGAAAACGCGGTTTCTAGGAAATTTTGCGTCTTCGTCATTTTGCATCGAAGTCCAGACGCGTTTCTCTGATACACAACAGTCAATATTGAATGACTCGGCCGTTACTTAGGCGTCCTGCAACGAGTTCGACATGCTCGTTAATCTCCATCATTACGTGTCAACGTAGTATAATGAATACTGCGAAAGAGTTAATAATGTGCAACAATATAAACAGGAAAGTGAGAAAGTGTACAAACGTATATAACTCCTCGACATCACGGAAATGTCATGATAATCGTCACTTTCATAAAGTGTAATGGATTACAAGGAATATAACTTTTGTAAGTGACATGTTGAATCTTAATAATACTCAAAGTATCCCATGATAAAATATGTAAAAAATTAACTAGACATCCTCAGAATTATTATTGCAGTAATTTAAAATAAAATTTTTACTACATTTTCCTAGATTTAGATTTGTTAATTATCTTAAAGTATCTTATTTAATACTTTATTTATGTTTTATTGTATTAAGATAAAGATTAATATGTATACGCATATATTTTTATTTAAATCTTTCGAGAGAAAGCCGGCATTTCGTGAAAGTTGCGAGTTTTCTCGTTTCGGCGGGTATATTTTTCGGAGCAAAATAACAGTTAAATAATCGAGCGATGTCGACGTAATCGCCGGGCGCATAATTTTACAGATGAATTTATAACGTGCCGGCCATTTAAATTGGAAAGGAGTTTCGACCAGTGGAGAAGCGTTATACAATCGGTCAGGCTAATGGTGCAAAAGAAACCGTGATATTTTGTAAGAATAACGTAACATCTCGTAGTTGGATTGGCGCTGATTATTACTAATTTGTGAAATCGAGAGCCCATACGTTATCTTTTTTGAACGTTAATTATCATGTGACGGAAAAGCAAATTTTTTTAATTACATTACGAGAGGATAGGTTATAATTACATAGAGATCGCAATCTATAGCACAAACCAGTAAAATGTATAAAACCAGTTAATTCGCGTGTGTATGCGATTGACCTTTTCATATTGATCATCAAATTATATAACGTACGAATTATCAATCATACTAAAGCCGATTTATGATCGACTTTTCATTTAATTTCTCAGAATAACGATTGCATAAATATTGGCTATAGATCAAGCGTTACTTTCTTTTCTCACGACTATTTCATAAAATATATTGTCTTGTAATTTTCCTTTAGTTACATTTAAAATGCTCGCGAGATATTTCTGCGACGTTGAAGAACGATCTTCGATCAAGCCTAAATTGATTTATGCGGGCACGCGTAGTTATTGTTTCGCGAACATTAATAAAGGATGGGAACACGATGAAAATCTCATCTCTCTGCCAGGACTAAGGCAGGTTACGTAATACTTCGTGATGCAGAGAATTCGAAGTCACCGGAGCATCCGCGTCCACGTCCACCAGGATCTAGCTTTCTCCTCGGCGCGAACTTACCGCCGGCGGCACATTAAAGAGATCGACGAGACGTCTTCGCGGTATGGCCATCCAATACAGTCATGTACTATCTTTTGCTTTAATAATCTTGCGATCGATTATTAAGATCAAATATAATCACTTTACACAATTTATTTGAGAATTTTGCATTTATGAATTTTGTAATTTTATAAATCATCTTTGAAAAAAGTTTTCCTTGTATACGAAAAAAATCGGGATCATGAAACGATTATTAGAAACTGAAAGTGCTCTTTGATTTTTAATCAAAGGGATTGAGTCCTTGTTGATTAATCAATGCATCGTCGCGTGACGAACTCATGAAATGCACAGGTCGTATTATATACTTTGTATATTAATTTAGTTTGCCGCTGTTTGTATAGACATGAGTATGAACAGGAAATGATGAGCACATTGCATTAAAGAATGTTTACTCATGAAGATTCTGGTCTCAGATAAGTGTAGGGATTACGACAGAACAGGTGATCGTTGACAGAGACATCATGTTGCGATTGCTTTTCTTACTTTGTATAGTATACTAGACCTAACTACATCTGAGAACATTTTATCTTTCAACAAATGATAATGTTAAATATAAAATAGTGAGCATAAAGAATAATTTTAAATAATATAAAATGAAATTTTGTTTTTGAGAAAGAGAGAAAGGGTGTATATTAGGGAGATATTATAAAGAATTATTATTTATTTATACATTACATAAATTTTATACATTACATAAATAATTTGTTTAATATTTATGATTGGATCAAATAGATAAAAATAATATATAAATAATTTAAAACTGTACATTAATTGATGCATTAAGAAATAAATTTTTTCATCGTTGATGACAACCAGAATTTCCTCACAACGGAACATACGGCACGGCCATGGTGGTCTCTAAGCTCGTGCCACAATTAATACTGCAGGAAGTGCAGCGGAGAAATGCATGTACACATGGCACGCACACATCTCTAAGGCACAAAGGATAATATGTGTTTCAGATAACGAGCATCATACCGCCCTGTACGACTTAACTCTATTTACATAAAGACATTAATTAGATTAATTATTACAATTTCGCGTAACGCGCTGTTTCATCCTTTTCTTTTTTTTGCATCTTTATTCGTTTCTCTTTCTTTTTTTCTTTTCTTACGTTAATGCCTTAATAAGATACAGTTACACTTTTCGTATCATTCAGTAGAAGATTTTTTTTTACAAGTGTAATACTGGATATCCGGTTAAGCTTACATTCCATTCATAAAAAATAATCCATTTGGTTTAAAGAGAGAATACTTCTCAAATACTTTACTCTTGAAGAAAATATATTATTTTTATCTTAACATTTTTTTACAATATTATGATATATGTTGCTTCCTTGCATAGAAATTAAACTATTCAATATTTTAAGAATTGCAGTAAACGAAAATAGAAGAAGAAGATTTAAAAAATTCTATGAATTAAGTACACTACCGTTTAATAATGTTAGAAAATTAAAAGAAAAACAGCAAAGCACTATTTCTAGTAGTTTTTTATCTGTAATATGTAATATTTTATCTGTATTATATAACACATTACAAGTGATAATTGCACTGAAATCCAACTAAGCTACGTGCGTGTTGAATTAAATTTTTGTACGTCCCGAAATAACTTCCGACGCAGAATTATATGAGCGTGAAATTTCCGATGCCTCCGAAAATGATTGCCGACCGCACAACACAATGGCATGTCGATCTGCTCTTCAAGTCTGTTACAGCCGCGAAACGTCATGGTAAGGTATTATTGACACGGCATAATATTTCTGTAATGACCGTCCGTAGGAATGAGCTGCAGTCAATGGGCCGATCGATCCACGGATTATCGAGTCCATTACCGAACACTTCCTCGAACCCATATTTCTCCTTCGGTGCCCATTATCGTCTCGTTCATCGACACCGCGCGAACCGTGCGAGTGATGCGCGAGCGTCATCGAATATCCGCAAAAATTAAAATTGTCCGCACAGCTGTCCCCGATCGATGCGCAAAAACCCCCTTGATTCCTTGATGCAAAAAGGCATTAAAAGAACTAGCTATTTAGATTCTCGAGTCACTCGTAATAAACCTTACTAACATGTCTTATAAATATAAAGATAAAATAAATTTAAAGATTTAATTTATAGATATTCTATATGTGACTTAAAGTCACGAAATAAATCATTTTTCGTTGTACTTGCTACTTTGAATTTTTCGTATTCCAAGGCAACTTGTGACATTATTTACTATTATTATTTTTTCAAAATCTTTCTTTTTATTTAATAACTAAACATCACATCATGTCTTAAGTGCCCAATTGTCGTACTGTTTTGTGCGCTTACGGTTGGAAGTTAAAATGCTACTTGTAGAGAATATAATAAGAGCTTTTTTTAAACGGAACATTTGGAATGATTGCGGTTTTTAATCCGTTCCGTGAAAAATCGTTAAGATTCTCGCGATTCTTGCGGCATGGGAAGAAAAAGTGATGCCAGTGAACGGGGACCCCCCGTTGACGATCTTTATCGGAGAGCAAGCGGTCCTTTCTGCCGGAGTCGCAGTCGTCTGGTTATTATGCGAGCGCCTCATGCGCGTTAAATACCGGGCCGCGGTTACATGAGTGGCGCGAATCGAGAAACGGGGAAGAAGGCGCGCGGTGTCAACGACCTTGCTCGCTCGCTGGCACACGATGATGTTCCCCGTTCGGCGGTCACGTCGAGGGGGAGCACCGAACGTATGTACGAACCGAGAGGTTGGCCGCT